GTCAATTATTTCATAAACATGCAGGATTTGGATAGAAAGGAGTTTCATCCATTTTACTAAGACTCTTATTTACATTGAAAACGAGAAGAATCTGTTGAGGAACTTCAGCTTTAGTGCTAATTAAGGAATACTGTCTTTTTTTCTTCTCACAGGTTCCAAAGTATTTTGTTTTTAATATAAAAGTTGATAAGGAGAGATAGAATACTTGTTTGAAATAAATTTTATTTAAAAAAAATATTTCAAATCAAATTTCACTTTCAAATATTTTCAATTATTAACGTGTTCTAGCAACTTATTAGTTGAGTCAGAGGCATAATCTTGATACTGAATATCTTTATTAAAGAATTCAATTTTTGAAACATCTGTGTTGCTAGTATTTAAGAAAGATCAAGTAACACTTCAGTACCAAAGATGCTATCAGAATTCAGACAATATCATATATCCTTTCTTAAAATATTTTGTGTTAATTCAGAGTAACATCCAGATATGTAGGTTTTTCTGCTGCTTTCAGCTGCCATCATTCTTTCTTTGTGATTACGTCTTCCTTCTGTGTCATATTTATACAGTGGCATTCAAGAGTTCACAGTCTGCATTTATGATTAGAAGCTGCAATTACTAAGGATAAAGAACTAATGGTCAATTCAACATGGGTAGAAAAAAGCAGATCTGCTAATCATGCAGTGAGGCCTTTCTGAGAGAATGATATAGGAGACCAGTAAAAACGACCTGTTTATTAGGTGGCTTTCTGAAAATGCCAAAAATGCCCAGTTTCTGTAGGGAGACTTTTTTGAGACTTCTTAAGCCTCATAAAGTTGCCTTGTGTGTGTTTCAGCATGCCTCAGATTTCTAACCAGATGATAAGCCTGTGGGGAGACAATGCTGGCATTTGATTCTCTTGAATACTGTTTAATATGACCCTTCTATGTCTCTTAACTGAATTTCTCTGCCTGACATCACAAGTCGTCTTGTTTGAACATTCTGAGATCTGCCTTAGCACCATATGCCTCCATTTATGGTATTAAAAAAAAAAAAGTGAATAATCAGAGCACTCCATCCTATTTGTGGGTGATTTGTACAGCAGTTGACTCTTTTTTTTTCCCTGTTTAAAACAGAGTTGCAAGCTTTTCTGTTTTGTAGAGTTTCCATACTGACACATATCCTGTCAGTAAATTTAATAGATGCACTTTTTTCTCTAAGGTGTTTTATTTTTATAGAATTATGATACATTGGAGTAATTCAGGAATCAATTTCTGAAGCTAAAACAGTTATCAGTCTGGTGTATATATATACTATCTAAATCCAGACATGAAGTCACTTGTTAATAGGGGTAATATTTTATGCTAATCTCTTCTATGCTAATCATCTCGAATTTTCTAACAATTTTCATTTGATAAGCCTCCAATCACCTTGAAAGCAAGGAAGGAAGTTTATTGCTGTTTTACAGGCTGCTAAATTGTCGGACAGAGAGAAATGAGCTAGTAGTGATAAGGAGTCAGTGGCAGAGATTAAAAATAAATCTTTAACTATATGGGGCAGCTTAATAACATATAGACTACATAGTAAATACTTTAGAAAGTATACTTGTATTCATGTTCTGTTGGTTACATCTGCCAGTGATGTTGGCTTATATTCTAAGGTATGAGTCAGCTTCCCAAAACATTTGAGCAGGAGACGTGATGAATGCTCATGAATCAAAGGCAGAAACCTTGGGCCAGAAGGAGCTGGAAACCCTTTGAAAGCTGAATGTTCAGCCTTCAAGGGAAGGAGTGCCATGTGATGCTAAAAAGCATCCTCTTTGAATCATTGAGTGGTGCTGATGTGCCTCAGAGGGGATATGACTGTTGCAATGGAGCTACCCTGTGCAGCGATGCTGCTGTGAAGGATGGACTCTCAGCACTGTCTGGGGCGAACCAGAGTACCTCTGGGAACAGAAGTGGGAGAACATTTCTTCCAATAAACAGAATCCTATAAATGTATATGCAAGTTTAAAAACATAAGCCTCAATGTAAGAAAGAAAAGTATAAAAAATGTCATCCTTTGGTCTAATTATTATTGCAATTGACCACCCTCTGTTTTCCAGGTGTTTACTCTTGGTTTGTTTGTTTGTTTTTTCAATGAATATCATTGCGTAATTCCTCATGAGCGTTTTATCTGTCTGTCAATGCAACTTTCACGTAGAGTTGCAGCATATTAGAAAATGATACCAAGACATTAAATGAGCATAAATCTTCATGGATTTTAATCGATTGGCCTGCTTATTCAAAATTGCTGTATATCTTATCAGTAATTGCGTTTTAAAACCTGTATTAGCAAAGGTTTTAATAGTGCCAAACTTCGAAGTTGTATGTAATGATTAATACAGAATTACACAGAAGTCTATTTGGAATGTTAACAAACTTGTAACTGTCTGGCTCTGTGTCAGACCAAAATGGTTAATGATCCACAAAAGGATTTAATGTGCACACTTATGTGAAACAACTAAAAATTCACTTTTCAAAAGATTTCCTAAGTCATATGAAAGATTTGTAAATTCATTGTGACTTCAGAAATAAACAACTTGGATCTTTGCTAGAAAGTTATGTAGACATGCACTATCATGCATTTTGGAATCGTATTTTGGAAATATCAGGTAATTTTAGCAGGCTGATATGATTAAATTTTCTGCTTGGTGGTGTTATGGTGTATACCGTTCCATCTCACTTTTCAAACTACCTCACTTTTCATTCATTATAATGTATATCTTTTCCTGCCTGTGTCCCTTGATTCTGCCCACCCCCAACAAATCTTTATTTCTATATTTAGACCCTTTGCTAAAGTATATTGTTTTTCTTTATTCTTTTGGCCCCCAAACAGCAGCATGGCATTATAAACGTATGTTAGCTACCTATCTGATTATAAAACCTGTCTTAGATTTTTGGATGTGTGATATTTCAAAGAAAATAAACTTCTAAATAGGATCTAGGGTTTCTGGTGGGAGGATGAAGAAGAAAACCTGACTCTATTATGCTAACCTATTTTAATAGTAAATTTACTGAAGTCTTATAAATGAAAGCAGCCTAAAGCACATGAAGTATAATGAATGTTCTTACTATGTTTGAGTTTACCTTCCTTTGCAAAGGAGAGGGCTCACCTATATGTTCTTCCAATGAGTTCTTCATTATATGATGGAGGAAGAGAAGCAAATTAGTATTTTTGATCTCAAAAGTTAATGAAAGGTGCATATGCATTTATGGATATTAAATAGCAAATGATTAAATAAACAATTGATTTAGGAATGGACTTTCATAGGACTATAAGGGAATTTTGAATCTGCTCTTAACTGTGCTTTGATAGAAAGGACACCAGGGGATACCGGTTCCCCTCTTTTATTGCAAGAGTTCTACTTTTACTGTCCCAAGAGAGCTTTAAATCCTAGGAAACAAAATGTACAACAATTATACTGCAAATTGGAATGCTTTCACTTGTATTTATTTAACTCATTGATGATTTTGTCACTTACGAGACATATCTTTCAAAATACATGTGTAAGTCCCAGTTTCATCTTCAAAGATGACAGCTTTCTTATAAATAAAACTTAGAGCTAACACGTGAATTTCCTTAGTATCAGTACATTACCATGCAGCCCACATGCTTCACAGGTGTTATTTGCAAATTTCTGAGAGCAGAGAAGACTAAAACCTTATAAATCTTTCCATCTGAAAGTACACTTGTTTGTCAAAGCCACTATATCACTTGAATAAACTTGATGAAAGAATAATTGCATATCAAGTCCCTTTCTCTGTTTTCCTCTCATTAGTTGATACTTTTTCCTTACCAACATATACACCCGTAAGTATATCTCCATCTTCAGACAGAATGTAGGGATTATATACTTCTTTTGTAATGCCCCTGATTTGGGCAGCATCAGAGGAAGTTCAGTGCTACCTGAAAATTCTTTTAACTCACGTTATTTGCAGTAATTGTGTCGTCATGTGCTGTGTTTTGGCATCATGGATAGATGGGTGAGAGGGGGAAGAAGAGCTTTAGAGAAGACAGCTTCTGTTTAGACACAAATATCATGCTAATCAGCACAGATGGGATGAGAAATACAGAAAAAGTACATGATAGTTTAATGGGTTTTTGGCAAAATGTGTTGGCTGTTTTTTTTTCCTTTTAGAGTATACCTGTCTCTGTCTATAGTTTTTCTATAACAAATACCTGAATGATTGTTTTATGTTAATGTGTTTGAAGCTTACCATAATGAGCTCGTTTTTTATCTGTGTATCTAGATACTAATACAAAAGTCTTCCAAATCAACACTTAATTTTTCCTTAGTTCTTTCTTTGTGTTTGGATGGCAAGCTGTGGAACATATTTTTGCACAGTATGAAGCATCTTGGCAGACTTTTCAGGCCAAGTATTGGTGATTTTAGAGTTATCTTTGGATCTGTCAAAAGTGCTAATGGGCTTTGTTGAGCTTCTTTAAGATTCAAAATCATATTTGCTTTTTGCTTTTCTGTGCTTTTTTACTTAATGATGATTAAGATTGCACTTGAATTCATGACTAATCTAATTTTGCTTTCACATGTGCTTTTTGTATAAGGCTATCTTTACTGTATAGCAATCCTTTTACATCCCTAAGAAGCTATTTGGACCCAAATTCCCTAATTCAGCATTTTTAGGTGTATTAACCTTTCCTTTTTTTTTTTTTTTTAATATATATATATTTTTTAAGTTCTGTGTTTTAAGAGGTAAGAAATACTCTCTACAAACAAAAGACCTTTGTCTGTTTGCCTCACACTGTAAAAGCCCCTTATTCTACAAGAACATAATACGTTTTGGTCAAGCTATCTATACACTAAATTTCTATTTTTGTGCATAAAGATCTTATACTCTCCTAAGTTTTCTTTCTGTTACGTATTGGAAGACATCATAATTCTTCAGTAAATACAACACATACACAGTGCAATTGCATTGATAATAATGTATAGACAGTGTTGCTGACTGATGTGATGGCCTGTAGGTTGGGTATGGAGAGGCCATAGCCACTATGTAGCTTGCTTTGTTTTGGTTTTTTGGATTTCACTTATTTACAATGATTTGTACATAGTTATTTCTTAATATTCTGAGCAACAATAGCATGAAAGAAACCTGTGTTGCTCAAGAAGTGTATATGCAAAGCAGCTTTACTTGCTTGTTTTCTTGGTCTGTCTATAAAGATTTTTCTGCTACCTTTATTTTTCTTTATACTATGTATACATACTGAACACTCAGAGGAAATTGGGTGTTTGAATCCTATCTGTTCGTTGGAGATGGACTTCCACTGAAACTTTGAGAGCAAGAGAGAAAATTCTCTGCCTCCTTCCACAGTTTCCCCAGCTGCCTGAGGTGGTGCTTTCTGTCTTCAACCAAGGGCAAAAGATTATCTGAGTATACAAAGTGAGGAGTTTAGAAGACTTGTGTAGTTGTTTTTAGCCTGTGTGTTAAATGCCCATGTGTATTTCCAGTATTCAGAATTGTTCTAGGGTAGTCTGTGCTTATTTTTGTGTTGTTAATATATCTGAGTTTCTTAAATTAGAAGTGTCTATTAGGAGAACCATTTTTACTATTAGGCTTTAAGATGTTTTTGTACTTTATCCAGAGAGTTTTGAAGTTTCTGTAAAAGTGAGAGAATCTATTTTTTCTCAGAGAAACATCTTGTATTTAAGTTGTGTGTGAAACATCATCAGTCTTGCTTATCCGAGGCCTAGCCTCCCAAAAGTTAGGTGAAAGATATTACAATTAAAAAGCCCTCTGACACAAGACGACCTGACCTATTATTTTCTTTCTTTAAGTCATATATTGGATGTAGCATACTAGAAGGATGAAATTTGGTTATTTTTTCTTTAATAACATTACCAAAACAAGTATCCTAATCAGAACTTTTTTTTCTCTCTCCTAGAGAAATCTAACAGAATATTTTGTAGCAGTTGATGTCAACAACATGTTGCATCTCTATGCCAGTATGCTGTATGAACGCCGCATCCTCATTTGTTGTAGTAAGCTGAGCACTGTAAGTAAATTGCAGAATAATTTCTTCTATTCACATTTTTTAAATGACAGTCATATATAGGAAACTCTCTGAAGCTTCTAGAATTTGAAGAAAAAAGTTTAACACTTTGTATAAGAAATAGATTATGGTACAGAGGTTGGACTTCCTATGTGAATGAATATCCAAAAACTCATAACAAGTTCTTTACTTGGTGAAGGACTTAGTAAGCAGAGGTGAAGCCCTGCTTTCATAGTTAAAAATAACCATAACCAATAATACCCATATAATTAAATGTATTGGCGTGGAGTTTTAAAGAGTTCCAGAAAAAAAGACATAAATGCACATTGATGGGTCACTAGCCATTCAGAATATTTGAGGTTGTTTGCTGAAGAAAAATCTCTAGTTTTTTAAATATATAAAAACAAAAATAGATTAATGTACTTGGCCTCCACAAAATATGCAGGGAGTATAGAAGATGTAGCCATATTCTTCCTAGTGGCACCCACTGGGAGAACAAGAGGCAACGGGCACAAGCTGGAATACAGCAAATTCCACTCAGGAAAAAACTTTTTTTTTTTTTTTTTTTTTTTTTTACTGGGAAGGTGGGAAGGTGGTCAAACCCTTGAATGAGTTGCCCAGAGAGGCTATAGAGTCTCCATCCTTAGAGATGCTCAAAACCCAAATGGACAGGGCCCTGAGCAACTGGCTCCAATTGACCATGCTTGAGCAGGGAAGTTGGATTTGATGAACTCCAGACATCCCTTCCAACCTCAGTTAATCTATGAGATGACTTTACTGAAGTTCTATTTGCCTCAAATGTTTAAATGAAAAAGGATTGTTGTTATTTTTGTTTGTTTTTTTTTTGATACAGATGTTGTGTACTAACAGTTATGCCATAGTCAAGTCCCTTTTTCGTAAATTTCCTTAACAGAAAAAATAAATAAATGATACTATCAGATGGGTCATTTAGAAACCTTCTCTGTATGGACCCAAATGGTGGGCTAAAATACATTGACAGCCCACAGTTTTTGCCATTTTGTGTGATAAGGTGTATTCTTAATGATGCTTAGCCTCCATCAAGGATCTGAGATGAAAGCCACTGAACACTAGAGTACTCTCTTCTAAAAATGGCTGCACATCAAAACCAAATACACAGCTTGATTTAGTTCAGAGTTGTGTGTTATGCATTTCAAGGTTTATCGGTCAATAAGACTGTGATTTTCGTTATAAAAGAGAATGTTAAGTTTTCATTATGTTTGCTCTGTAGATGGGTATTGATTGCTTTCCTTTATGAGTAACAAACGCAGAATGGTTTAATACATGTTGCTTTCTAGTGCTATGGACTAAGTACTTGAACAGTCCCTTCTAAAATACAAGCTTTCATTTTTCATTTTGTATACTATTATCTGGCCTCTTACTGTACGACCACGACCTACTTTGTGTTTGAGGTTATAACTGCTTGGAATTGTAAAAAAATATTGAAGGCTGAAATAATATACATGAAAAGCACAAAAGAATAATCTGTCGATACAGGATAAGAAAAGGAAAGAGAATAAGTCTTCATATTCAATCTCAGAATAATTATTTCAATATAATTTTGAAAGGTAAGTGAAACTGGGATATTTAGAATAATCTCTTGGACATACCAATAATTATTAATTGTTTACAATCAGGTCCCATATACAACCGATGGAATTTAAGTACTATGAAGTTTAATATTGTAGAAAACTCTTGTAAAATGCACAATCTTAACTTTTGTTTCTACCAAGCGTTCTAGGTCCTCTCTACTAAAATAAACAAAAATATATCCTGGCCTGGGAAGTAAATAAAATGTAGCAGAGAGGTATTTATTTCAGAGACTTAAAGAGTGAAAATAATATAAATTATCAGAAAAGAGGAAAAAAGAGAATGGCTAACCAAAGCATTTCAAAATGTGTGCGGTTGGTTGGTTTAATATCTCCCTTTGTGACAGAGCCAGGGAAGAAGAATTACTTACCTGTCACTTTGCCATCCTTAACGAGCCATTTCGCAAGTAGGGTTGTGTTTTCTTTCCTATCTTTCTGCTATTCCTCTTCCTTTGCCTCTGCCCAAGATAAAAGCATGTCTGGTTCTTCCGTGGGGAGGGGTATTCGTACTATGTGTTCTTATCTTACAACTTTATATATAAACTACTCCAAGATTGGAGTGACAGTGTAAGACAGGTTTGAAGTGTTGGGCTGGAGCCAGTGATTCCTTGCCTGCACGCTCTGCTCTGTGTGTTCCAGCAGTAGGAACAAGCTGCATTATTTTATTTCAAACTGTGCTCAGCGGAAGCCAAGACCTTGTAACTGGAAACTTACCAAATAGAGGAAGCTCAAAGTATAGTTAGGGTTGGGGGAGAGGGTTTTTTGGTGTTGGTTTTTTTTTATTTTTATTTTTTAAACAAAAAAGTAGAAAGGAACTGTGTATAAATTCTTTTTACTTTGAGAGACATGGCACACTTCACACTTAAGGCTTAAGTATAATAGCAAGTAAGAGAGAGAGAATTAAACAGCCCTGAGTAGAAGAGTTTTTTGTGGTAGAATGAATCCTGTGCTAAAATCTAATCAAATTCAAATTTTGATTAGACATATCCTTAATATGGTCATGTTGAATAAGATTTAGAGGTAACTGAAAGTGATACCATTTATTAGCTATTTTATGAACCATGTATACTGAACCCATGGAAGATTTATTGTGTGTATCTGGGAGAACTCTTTTTTTTTTTTTTTTTTTCCACCTACAAATGGCAACTCAAGTCATTTTTCAACATGTTAAAGCAATTATTCACATATTTAATTTTTTTTTAAATATTCTGTGATCTAATTCGTGCAAAGCCAAATGTGAACCAGAATGCATAAAAAACTGTGTGCTTGGCAAAAGACCACCTGCTGGTGGATACATGCTGTTGCAAAAAAGAAACAGAAGAGTTTTCCTTGTGTCCGGAATTTTCTCTTCCATCACAACTTACCCTTGCAGCCCTGTCTGACCGAGGTGTATTAATTATTTGTGCTAATGGGCGCAGCAGGTTGTCTCCAGGGGAGAAAGGTTCCTTAAAGGAAGCCTGACGACTCTTAAAAAACTTGATCCATGAATTTTTATGATGCTTATTTGGTTTCATCTTACTGAGATGAATTTCTCTGTGATTTTTCTATTATTTTGTAATGATTAGTCCAGAGCAAAAAATGCTATTCTGGCATGGATTTTTTTTTGTTCTTGGAAGTTGACAGCTTGCCATTTCAATTTTTGCATATCATGGAATGCTCAAATGTGCAAACTTTTATTCCCTAAATGGTTTCTGACGTAGCTCAGGGCTCTAAGGATGAGGAAATACTGGGGTTTAGGAAGTTACAGTATATGATTAAGAACACTTGCCAAATGTACTTGTGATGTAAATACCAAAGAGCTTGCACTGTTCTTGTTCTGTAGCAGTCTTAAAGCTACTCTTTCTTAGGTACCAGTTCTTCCTTGCTCAGAACTCTATTGCTATCCTTTTGAACTTCTGCCAGTATCAGTCTTGATTTCATATGTAGTCTTTACAACAGTTCTGCTTTCCTTACTTAGTTCTTATGTAACTCAGTCTTAAACTTTCTGCATGTTTTTAGTGCTAAGCAAGGCAGAGCAATCTTACAAAAACTCAAAAGATGGCCTGTTCCTTCCAGTGTACATTGCGCTTTTCCAGGCTTGTACTGCAACTGCAAAACTCTGCAATGTACATTCATCAGTAGAAGGAGAGTAAAATACACTGGAAAATGGCCTGTCGTAATTCAACATCATTTTATAATTTATATGTATGACAAAACATACATATGTATGACAAAAAAGCCCATTGATTAGTTTGCTCAAATCAGGTTTTCAGAGTATTAAATGTTAAAACTGCAAGAAGTGAATTAGTTAATCAGTGTCTTTTTTAAATAGTTGCCTTTTTATATACTCTAGCAACAACTGCAGGAAGCTGAGATAGTAGAACTAATCTTATTTCAAAATGCTGGATTCCTATAGTTTTGACAGTCAGGCATTTCTCAGGCTGCCTTATTATTAAGTGCTTGTTTTCTGTATAGCAATCACTAATCAGGTGAGGTCTGCAGCAAACATGCTATTTCTTTTTTATGAGCCCTTATCTTGGCAGAGTTGAAGGACAGTGCTGGTGCCTACCAATGGTAGTATGCTTTTTGAATTCATGCCAGACAGCAAGGTGGGAGTACATCTCAAAAATAAGTGACAGCTTCTGCTCAGATGTCTGCAGTGTTGAGCATTATGTCTATTTAATCTTTTGTTGCCGAGTTTTAAAACCCATGGAACACAGGTTTGGAAAAGGCCTCCTTGGATTACTGAGTTCAGTCCTCTACTATCACAGGCAACCACGTTATATGATAATGTCAGGAAATAATCCGGTTGCTCACCACAGAAGCAATTTTTAAGTAAGAATTAAATTTAAGCAGTTTTTTTCCGTACATCTCTTTGTGCTTTGCAGAACAGAAACTGAAAGCATAGAGGATTTGGGATTATAGAGAGAAACTGCTTTGGGAAATCATGCCCTTTTCTTCTGCTCTGTGTTTTGGAGCTGGGCTATGCCTTTAATCTGTGGGGGAGGAGTATCTTCTCCATTAGTGATAATGTAGGTTGAAATAAAATTGGATAGCGATAAACCTTTAGCATTCGAGTAAAAAATTCAGAATGAAATCTAGATTTTTATCTTCTAACTTCTACTTTAATTATTTTCCTAGCATACTAATATTTCCATCTCATATGGACCATAAAATACTGACTACCTGCTATTGGAGAGCTTTCTTAAAGAGTGACTAAACATGTTCATATGCTTGCTGTACACGATCCACTCCTGAAGACCCTTTTTCATTAGGACTGTGGTTCAAACCTAATTGACATTCTTATGGAAATACGTTATCAGCACCAGGATGGTTTTGAACTTTGTGAACCCTTTTGTTAAAGCAAATTCAAGCAGTGCCCAGCTAGGGAGTGGCAGTGCAGCCTCCAGTGTTTCT